GAATGGCGTGAACCCGGGAGGCGGAGCTTGCAGTGAGCTAAGATCTGGCCACTGCACTCCAGCCTGGACGACAGAGCGAGACTACGTCTCAAAAAAAAAAAAAAACCCAAATCTTCATCACCAGCCCAGCCTCAGCAGTTACTGACCCATGGCTGATCTTGTTTCTTTCTTCCTTCCCTCTCTTTCCCAATTATTTTGAAGCAAATCCTAGACATCCTATCATTTCATCCGTAAACTCTTCAATATTTATTTCTAAAAGATACAAACTCTTAAAACATAAGTATCTTGTCATCATGCATAAAATAAAAAATTAACGATAATTCCTTATTGTCAAATAAACACATTGTCACCCATGAATGGGTTATAAAATCAATCACAGAGACATAATTTTTTTTAATTTTTGATTTTAATTTTTATTTTTAAAGACAAGGTCTTGCTCTCACCCTGGCTGGAGTGCAGTGGCACAGTCATTGCTCACTACAGCGTCACTCTCCTGGGCTCAAGCCTGCGTTGCACCTTAGCCTCCCAAGTAGCTGGGGCTGCAAGAGTATGCCACCATGTTCAACTAATTTTTTTTTTTTTTTTTTGAGAGGAGGTCTTGCTATGTTGCGCAGGCTCATCTTGAATTCCTGGGCTCAAGCAGTCCTCCTGCCTTGGCCTGGGAAAGTGCTGAGACTACAGGCGTGAGGCTCTGCACTCATCCTGAGTTGCAACAATGTTAAAGGTTAGATGTCTTAGTCCATTTAGCCTGAATATAACAACATACCTTAGACTGGGTAGTTTATAAGCTAGAGAAATTTATTTCTTCGCAGTTCCAGAAGCCAGGAAGTCCAAGATAAAGGCACCTGCAGGTTCAATATCTGGTGAGGGCCCCTTTCAAATTCACAGATGGCACCTTCTTGCTGTCACGGTGGAAGAGGTGAACAAGTTCCTTGGGCCTCTTTTTTTTTTTTTTTTTTGAGACAGTCTCACTCTGTCGCCCAGGCTGGAGTGCAATGGCGCGATCTTAGCTTACTGCAACCTCCACCTCCCAGGTTCAAGCGATTCTCCTGTGTCAGCCTTCCGAGTAGCTGGCACCACCGTGTCAGGCCTCTTTTATATGGGCACTGATCCCCTTTATAAGGGTTCTGCCATAGTAATAGTATGGGAAACAATAAAAAGTGTCACAGTGTGCCTCAGTGAGTAAAGATAAGACTATTTTATGAAGCATTGTTTTGGTCATACATGTTTCCCCCACTTTCCAAATTCTCGCCATTCAAATCAGGAACCAAACAGATTCAGTGACATTTTCAGGTAAGTCCTTTACCATCCAAACTCTTACTTCTTGCTATCCACACTCAAGAATGTGACAGATTCGAATTGCAAGGAATATTTGTGTCTATGGGCATGTGTGTAAAATGCGAATGTGTAGAGTAGTTTGTGACATAAAATTATTCCTTTTCTTGGCCAGGTGTGGTGGCTCACGCCTGTAATCCCAGCACTTTGGGAGGCCAAGACGGGTGGATCACTTGAGGTCAGGAGTTCGAGACCAGCCTGGCCAAAATGGTAAAACCCCGTCTCTACTAAAAATACCAAAATTAGCCAAGCATGGTGGCACACACTTGTAATCCCAGCTACTCGGAAGGCTGAGGCTGGAGAATCGCTTGAACCCAGGAGGCAGACGTTGCAGTGAGCTGAGATCATGCCACTGCACTCCAGCCTGGGTGACAGAGCGAGTGTCTGTCTCAAAAATAAATAAATAATGATAAAATAAACAAATACCGCAGCCCAGAGGACATGCCAGTGCCACTCGCAATTCATTGGCCAAAACAAGTCCCAGGGCCCCACCCAACCACCAAGGAGCCAGGAAGTGCAATCCCACTGACCCCAAGAAGGAGGGAGGTCGGGGCCTTTGGAGCCATAGCTCATGACCGCCATTGTCTCTGCAAGGTTAGAAGCCACTGGGTCGCATAGCCACATTGCCCCTCCAGAAATCAGGAAGCCGGGCTGGGACCGGGTGCGTGTTCCCCCTTCAGGTCTCCTGCCATCGCCCAGGAAGGTTTTTTTTTTTTTTTTTGAGACGGAGTCTCGCTCTGTCGCCCAGGCTGGAGTGCAGTGGCCGGATCTCAGCTCACTGCAAGCTCCGCCTCCCGGGTTCACGCCATTCTCCGGCCTCAGCCTCCCGAGTAGCTGAGACTACAGGCGCCCGCCACCTCGCCCGGCTAGTTTTTTGTATCTTAATAGAGACAGGGTTTCACCATGTTAGCCAGGATGGTCTCGATCTCCTGACCTCGTGATCCGCCCGTCTCGGCCTCCCAAAGTGCTGGGATTACAGGCTTGAGCCACCGCACCCGGCGCCCAGGAAGGTATTAATAGATGGGAGTCAGCAGGTTTTTGACCTCAAAGCGGGGAAACTGACCCAGGCAGCTTCTGAGGCTCGATCCTGCCTGTGGCCTGCAGGTGATGACCAATGGCTGGGAGACGGTGGACATGACGCTGCGGCGGAATGGGCTCGGGCAGCTGGGCTTCCACGTGAAGTACGACGGCACGGTGGCCGAGGTCGAGGACTACGGGTTCGCCTGGCAGGCTGGCCTCCGGCAGGGCAGCCGACTGGTGGAGATCTGCAAGGTGGCCGTGGTCACATTGACCCACGACCAGATGATCGACCTGCTGCGCACCTCTGTCACCGTGAAGGTGGTCATCATCCCGCCTTTTGAGGACGGCACACCCCGGAGGTAAGGGCCTCCGCCTTTCAGCCGGGTGGTGGGTGGCAGCTCCCAGATCGCTGGCATGAGACCTCCCTGGCACTGTCACTTGAGGTCCCAATAGAGGGGGCATAGGCCCTTCTAGGCAGGAATAATGGCAACGGTGACAGGATAGGGAGGGCGCATCTACAGAGCGCTTACTGTATACCAGTTACTGGTTTAGCCCTTCACATATGCACGATCCCATTTAATCTCCACAGTTGCCCTGTGAAGGGAGAACCTCATTATTCCTGTTGTCTGCATGAAGCACACGATGTTAGTAGTCGCTTGCCTGTGGGCCCCCCACACTTCATTCATTTGTTCAAAATGTGTTTATTGAGCCCCTGCTATGTGCAAGCTCTGTTCAAAGTGACCACAACAAAGTGCCTGCTCCTTTGGGGTTTGTGTTCTACAGGGAAAGACAGGCCGTGAAGAAATAGGTGTGTCACACAGGATCAGGTAGTGCGAAGTCTCAGAAGGGAATTAAAGCCGGGTAACGAAGGGGCTGCAGCACAGTGGGAGAGCTGCTTACAAGGCGGGCAGAGAAGGCTCCATGGGGAGGCAGCCATGTGGTTTTCTGGTCAGCGGGCTCCCGACGGGAGCTGGTCAGGGCACAGCCTCCCCAGTGTACATAGGTGGTGCGTTCCTGGAGTGCAGGGAGGCCGGTGTGGCTGGAGCAGAGCAAGCAGGAGTGAGAGCTGGGAGCAAAGGACAGAGAGGTGACCAGGCAGATGGTGTGGGCTTCCTGAGCCATGGGAGAAGCTTAGGTTTTATTCCACGCACACTGGGAAGCTGGTAGGTGACTTATTTCTTTTGTTTTGTTTTTTTGTTTTGTTTTAAGATGGAGTCTCGCTCTGTCACCCAGGCTGGAGTGCAGTGGCGTGATCTCAACTCACTGCAACCTTCACCTCCTGGGTTCAAGCGATTCTCCTACCTTAGCCTCCTGACTAGCTGGAACTACAGGCGCGTGCCACCACACCCAGCTAATTTTTGTATTTTTAGGAGAGTCGGAATTTTACCATGTGGCCCAGACTGTCTTGAATTCCTGACCTCAGGTGATCTGCCTGCCTCAGCCTCCCAAAGTGCTGAGCCTCCCCAGGCTGTTTCATTTTTCAATGGAACATCTCAAACATAAAGTGTATTACAAGTATCAAAACATATCATGTACCCCATAAATATATACACCTACTATGTACCCACCAAAATTAAAAAGAAATAAGGCTGGGCGCAGTGGCTCACGCCTGTAATCCCAGCACTCTGGGAGGCTGAGACGGGCGGATCACGAGGTCGGGAGATCAAGACCATCCTGGCTAACATGGTGAAACCCCGTCTCTACTAAAAAATACAAAAAATTAGCCAGACGTAGTGGCGGGCGCCTGTAGTCCCAGCTACTCAGGAGGTTGAGGCAGGAGAATGGCATGAACCTAGGAGGCAGAGGTTGCAGTGAGCC